CCCTCCGAGATTTTTCGCCCTTGTCCGAGAAGGCTAGGTGTAGATCTTTCCTACCAGAAGATTAGGGGTGTGGCAGAAAGACAGCTTTAAGGAGTCAAGGAGGAGCAGCAGAAAGGCTGCAGAAAGAGTGCAGAAGCCCAGAGGAGGGGGCAAAGGAGATGAGGGGGAGGGGGCAGAAAGAGGAGACGAAAGCAGACGACAGAATATTGCTAGAGAGCAGGAAAGGAGGTGAAAGGAGACAATTTTAGAGAAGGAAATTTTTCGGTCGCTACCCGGATTCGAACCCGGGACCTTTGAATGAGAGGCCAACACCTTAACCTCTAGGCCACGAGAGCCCCCAGACTCACTCTGCTCACCTCTCTAGCTTCAACAGCACAAGGTCTGCTTCGATTATCAAGGCATCCCGGAAATAGCGGGTCACAAGAGTGTGACAAACATACAAAAGAAGTAGAGGAAAATGACAATAGTATGGATTAGGAAAGAAAAAGCAGCAGTTCCATGTTGTTGATTAGGCAGCTATGAGCATCACATGATGAATCAGCCCATTTACAATTCTACTGTGCTTGAACCAGAAATTACCCCCTTTTGGGAATGGCCTAAAGACACTACAGTCAGTGGCACTGCCCCGGGGGGTGAGTAAAGTATACTTTCGAACAAATACAGGGATAACTATTTACAAGGACTTCCGTAAAAAGCGACCACCCCAACACACACAATAAAGAAGAGACCTAACCCTACCCTAAACCTACTCCTCTGTTCTACTCTGTCTCATAGTGGTCGCTCATTACGGATGTCCTCCTCTTTACAAAATACTGAAGGGGAAAAAGGTTTATTCCATAAGAGAACAATGAAGCAATAATAACAATTTTTAGCTGAGATTCAGAACTTTTGCCATGCAACGACAAGTGTTAGTGATAATAAGAATGTTGGGCCGAGTAAGGATGTAAATCTAGACAATGACCAAAAAATCTTAAAAGTACAGTCGAACCTGTGTAAGATGGCCCCCAATTGTCAAGGAGAAAAGTGGCCGTATAAGACAGGTTGCTGTCTTAGGCAGGACTGATCAAGATGAACAAAACAAACCATTCCCTTCTGAGGTCCCCACCAAAAGTAGCCGCATTGTTGTTTTTGGTTTGTATTTCGTTTGTTATATTTATTTTATTGCTGATTTTGCACAAGGGTGACAAAAAAACTAAATATCTGTCAGATGAGTAAGACGAGTGCCATGTTAAAACGAACACATGGGTCGCCACCACTAGGAGAACGAGCGACGCTCCTGTTGCAAGTTCATGTTGACGTCCATTGTTACTTTGTTACAGACTGGGGTAAACAGTGACCACTCATCTCACTTACGATTTGTGTACGAGTTTTGGGCGTGGCTTATAGGTTATGAGGGATCACACGCTTACCTCACCAGCAGCTACAAATTTTGTTACCTATTGGTCAACAGTGGGAGGGGTCAACGCAACATGATCAGTTGGAGGGACTACCTAATAACGACAGGTGATTGGATATGACAGCTCGGACAGAACACCAGGGGCCAATGCATAATTTATGACTAACATGACAAAACGTAATGGAGCCACTAAGGTGGCCACCTAAGACAGGTGTTATTGTTTGGTGTGATATGGATTGTGTGTTAAAATATGGTGGCCACTTTACACAGTGAAATTATATAGAAAAAACGCAAGGGGCGAAATGGAAAGCGGCCGTCATGGCAGGTTCGACTGTATATAAAATTAAAAACACAAAAGCATTGAAAACTTTCTAACTGTTTAGTTATGCATACCAATACCTCAACTTTTCAACAACAAAAAAACCCCAAAAAAAACAGCCTCTATCCACCCAACGTGTCAGGATGATGGGTATTGGCAAAGTAACCCCTCCCCCCCATACCCTTAGCACACTTTTCGGCACTCATTAGATTCAAACTATTGATATTACACCTAAAGCAAAAAATCTCTCGAATTGACTTACAGGCTTCATTCTCATTCAAAAACCATTCTGGAAATTCGTAATTTTTTCATAAAAGTGCAAACTATTATTCATAAAAAGTGCAAACTAAAGACATTTCTGATCAACATATAAAACCTAGAGAAATTTGATACATGTACCTAAAATCAACTTGGTCCTTGAATCATTAAACCACAACAATATTAATATTCATACTTTTTGTACTGTTCTGTCTTGGTCAGGAACTTTTCAGGCATGCCATCTTCTTCATCTTTCTGTTCCAATGGCTCTACAGCAACTGGTTTGGGGTCTCTAGAAATTGGAAATCATTATGCAAGAATGAAGCAATCAAAAACATCAACATTCCTATCTAATCATGTACAATGTCAGAACAAGGACTGATCCTATGGTACGCAGACCCTGTACTTAGTTCTGTAATTTTGCCCAAAAGCATCCAATAATAAGATTGAAAAGAGCTTAATAAAAACTAAAGTCACCAATCTCACTGCATCTAAAACTTAAATGTTAAAATCTTTATGTACAAGGCCACTTCTAGGGTCCTTCGAACAAAAACTCCTCAAAAAAAATTGATGGAACAAATTATTGGAATGCATAAAATGGTAAGACATATAATAAGAGACAATGTACAAAAAATATGAAGAAGTACATACACTCCAAGAAGAAAAACTCCTTCATTGATTCTTCTGAGGGCTGAATTAGCTCCAGGTTTCCTCACAAACTCCACTATGCCTTCTCCTGTGGATTTGCCTCTGTCATCCACAATGACAATGCATCTCTCCAGATCCCCGAATTGAGAAAACGACTGTTCAAGAAGTTCATTTGAGACATATGGGTGGAGATTCTTTACTTTGAGTGCAGCACCATGGGTAGCAAATCTTATTCTGAGTATTCTGCCCTTCCTCTGTAGCCCATCAAGGGCTGCCTTAGCTGCTTCGGCATTCTGTCGATAATCCTAAAAACAGAAAAATGAAAAAAAATGTAATGTAATATATAAACCATATTTATCAACTAATAACTGTCCATGACTTGAACCCTGCAGATATATGGAGCAATTTGTTAATCACATTCTGTTCAGACCAGCTGTTAAATATTTGACAACGAAACCAACATATCAAGCTGAGAACCAGCAATCTTAGCAATGATTTGACTTTAAATAATTAATTATGATATTGACGTTAACTTCCCTTAACAGACATATTAAGCTTTTTAATTTAATCTTGCCATAGTCAGTGATAGAACTACAAACTAGTCACATACAATAACCATCTGACTTTATAGTAAAACACATGAATAACCCCCTCTCATAAGCTGATAAGACAATAAAGTAGTTACGCCCATTCGAATAACCTTTCTAGATGCTCTTGTTATGAATGACCTGGGGTTCAAAGGGGATAATACAGAGGTCAATTTCCGAATGTTTTGCACTCAAATTGTTCTTTGTACCTGCACAATGGTATTCAAAATTATCAAACAAGCTTAGTTTTTATCAGGTAGTATCATTTCATACAAAATCAAGCTCATTTGAAAGATTTTGTATAGAAAAATGGAAGTCTTGTTTCCTGACTACCCTTTCGAGCTCCTCATGTCTAAGTGGGTCAATTTCTTCTATATAATTTCATTGGACCAACATCTACAGCTACCAACTTGGCGTGTTTTGAATGAGACGTATGCCTCGGTCACGAACCAACGCAGGCGGTTCTAGAAGAAGGCCACAAATGCACACAAACTCAAGCACACTGATGCACACACACTTGAGCTGCGTGAATGCGGATCCGACTCGGGACCCGAATTAAATGGGAGATGATGCTCGGCGCGCGTGCGCTGAGCTAGGGGCCAGACTGACACCGGACCAGAACGCAGGCGAGCAGGACCAGGGTTAACAAAAGGAAAATCTGCAATGGGCGCAAAAACGGCAATGGTGACTTAAGTTTTAGACAGCAAACTACATGTCGCCTAGCGATCATGCTCTTTTCACATGCCAGCTGGTGAGTTATTTCAAATTGAGACCCACTTTCCGGCTTTAGACTTTTATCGCTGGATGAGTGGTAATTTTAAGTTGGTATGTAAATGTACTACGGGTTTCTGAAATTTTACAGCAATAAAGGTGATTAGACATATGGGGTGCCTGTCTGGTCAGCGTCCATGCATCAGCTCCTCTACGTTTTTGAACCGTAGAACAAAATGGCAATTTCTCCTGTTCTAGAAACCTATTGGCATTGGATGCATGCATATAGTAAGTTTGGCCTTTCCTCAAGTTGGGTTTCAAAGTTTCATTATCGTCCACGTATTTTCACGTAACTATACTTAAAAACGAGCCACCTCTGATCCAAAAATTACCTCTCATACAGAGCCCGATTTCCGCCCCAAGCGCAGCAGACGATAGGCATTGCTACATAAAGTGTTGAAGAACCACCAATCTACTTTAGATCTAGAAGGGGAAGGCAAATAAAAATAAAAACATAACTGTTGGACATTTTTGGGTTGTTTGCGAATGGAGTACCGGCGCGCGAGAGTGTGTGTTGCTTTAGGGGTGACTAAATGCAAAATAGGTTACTGCCAAAGTCGAGCAGTTTGGTTTTCTCCTAGTACCTTTGGAAGGCATTTTCAAACGAAGTATAGGTCGGGAACGTTTCTCCAACCACAATTTAAGTATCTGAATATTCAGACATCTAAAAATCTCTAGGCTAGACGCTCTAGAAATTGAACTCGATGCAAAAAATGCTTCTTCCCATTACTCGCAGAATGGCAGAATGAACAATGACGCCGAACTCTCGCAAATAACAAAAAAACTCGAGAACGGAAACCGTTCGAAGAAATAGAATAGAGGTCAAGTTTATTTTCCCGAGTGTTCGGAGAAAGAGTCACTTCGTTTAGTGGCTATTCAGACTGAAGTCTGAATAGCCTCCCATGGCTGTTCGGACTCAAATTTTCCAAACCGACTGTTCAGCTGACATTTTAATACTGTTTTAAAATTTAATTTTCATTTTAATTGTCCCCAAGAAATGACAATTTTAATGACCTTGATTATCGAAAGTGCCAGGCAAGCGCAGTCTAGGCCAAGACCTCAGTGGCTCCTGGTTCCTTCATTGAGGGAATGGGCGACCCTTCCACCTCGGCCCCCAGTGATGTGGCTCTGCCTTCCGCTGATGAGCCTGGCCTTGTGGTCTTCCCTTCCACCTCGGCCCCCAGTAGTAATGTGGCACTGCCTTCCGCTGATGAGCTTGGCATTGGGGTCTTCCCTTCCACCTCGGCCCCCAGTAATGGGGCACTGCCTTCCGCTGATGAGCCTGGCCTTGACGTCTTCCCTTCCACCTCTACCAGTCATAATTCGGCAGGCCCAGCCACAAGTCCTCAACATCTTGTGTTCCCAATGTCAACCCCTGGCAAATGTGGGTGCCGAGACACGAACGTGGCATTCCACACATGCCAGTTGATTGACCACATACTGGCTTGTGGTTGGTCACCAGTTGAAATGTTTCAAATAAGGCGTCGTCTATTCAGAAATGACGCGACAGCCTCCGAACCAGAGTACACCAAGTACTTGGAATTGTGGAACAAAGTTGTTCCTCAACCAACATTCGATAACCTGCCGCTCCCCGTTTATAACTGGGCGAAAATCATCTAGAGCGCCCCGAGTACAGTACAGCCCCCCCTCCTACGTTTCACATGTCTCCTTTAAGGAATTCCATAGGAACAAAGAAAAAGAGGTGGCGGCGAAGAAAAGGGCACAGGAAGAGAGGAAGGCAGAGATGTTGAGGAAGAGGGAGGAAAAGATGTTGAAGAAGTTAGAGGAAAAGGAAAAGCGCCCGGAGAGAGAACAAAAGGAAGCAGAAAGGTTGGAAAAGAAGAGGAAGGAGGCAGCAATGAAAGGGAAGGGCAAAGGCAAGAAGAGGAGAGTGGAAGAAAGTTCGAGTTCAGATGATGATGATGCACGAGTGGTGTATGATGACAGGTCGGATTTTGAGATGGATGATGAGTTGTGTTGTGTGAATGATGTGGATGAAAGTGTATGTGCTGTTTGTTCAAGTGACAGGGACCTGGACGGATGGATTGGGTGCGAATGTGGGAGGTGGTACAACAGAGGATGCACGGGTAGAGACAGAGAAAAGATACTGGCAATGAGTGAGGAGGAGACGAGTGAATTCCACTTTGTATGTACGACGTGCGAGTGTTTGTAGTGTGAAAACTTGTACGCAGGGTTGTTTTTTAGTTTGTAATTTTTCTTTTACTGTTCTCCCAGGGACATGGCCTTTTTCTTTTGCAGGCCTGTGTTGTTAATAAATTATTTTAACATGAACATGAACTTGTTTTTATTGGTCTATTTTGTATGAAAAATGTATGGCAGTCGTCTTCGGTGAAGGAAATATTCTGCCAATTTCTAGAAAGAGTCTTTTAACCTCCTTGGTATGCTGGAATCGAACCCCAAATTGATCACTGCCTTGGCAATAGGGCAGATACTTTGCTAATTGAGCTTAATAAGTTATTTATCAAAGAGAAAAACAAAGTGAAATAGCTTTTTTTAACGGGAGTGTATACAGACCCGGTAACCGGGAACAAAGTCACAAAGTATACAGACCCGGTAGGGGAACTCTTGTGATTTCGGAGAGTTTCAGCGCCCTCTTGGCTCAGGGTAGACCTAGGTTCTTCTAGATCTATGGTCTAGATCTAGATCTAGGCAGACATAAATCTTTGATCTAGTTTCGCGGCTAGCCTAGATCTAGATCTAAATGAAGATTGCGGATGTCTTTTCGATGAACAATCGTTTTTCCTCTGTTTTGGAGTTGGAGGAATCACGATTTGAAGTAAAGAACAATGTCATAATTTCAATCGAGCAGTCACCCTTTCTATTTCTCTGCCCCCCCCCCCTCTCTCTCTCTCTCTCTCTCTCTCTCTCCCTCCCTCCCTGTGTGTGTGTATCGCTCGCCTTCTCTTTTTCTTTGTTTGTCTCTGTCTTTCTTTGTCCCCACCTATTTCCCACTCTATCTTGCTCTCGTTCCCTCCTGCCAACTGGGGCATGTCACATTTTGCTAGCACCTCTCTCTCTCTCTCTCTCTCTCTCACACACACACACTCACGCACACACTTTCTAGATTTCTACCGGGTCTGGGCGCTGAAACTTCCCAAAATCACAAAAGAGTTCCCCTACCGGGTCTGTATACTTCGTGACTTTGTTCCCCATTACCGGGTCTGTATACATTTCGTTTTATAACATCCATGAAGGGCGGCCGGTTTGACCATAATGGGTGGCTGGTTTGACCTTAAAATTCAAAAAGTGGCCAGTTTTATCAAAAATGTCACCCAGACCATTTTATGTGCAGAACATGGATAAGAATGATAGACGTGATGCAAAATCTGCTGGTTCACCTGAAACAGGTCACATGAGGTTTACATTTTATAACATCCCTTTCCAGTATTGATCTTATTTCTGGTCAGCAGTCTTCATTTCTCTGAGGCACCCACGGATAAGGCTTAAGCGGCCGGTAGACCTGAACCTACTCTAGTATCTTTGTAGACGATCAAATTAGATCTAAATCTAGCTTACAACTTTTGTGCTATAAATAACGTCATTTTTTCTTGGCTTTTATCAATTTGATCATCCACACCGATAGACATAAGGCTTATTCCAAAAGGGAGTGTATATACAGACCCGGTAGGGAAACTCTTGTGATTTCGGAAAGTTTCAGCGCCCTCTTGGCTCAGGGTAGACCTGGGTTCTAGTTCTAGATCTATGGCCAAGGTATAGATCTAGATCTAGACACAGACATAAATAATTGATCTTGTTCCAGGCTAGCCTAGATCTAGATCTAAATGAAGATTGCGGATGTCTTTTCGATGAACGATCGTTTTTTCTCCGTTTTGGAGTTGGAGGAATCACAATTTGAAGAAAAGAACAATCTCATAATTTCAATCGAGCAGTAACTCTCTCTCTCTCTCTCTCTCTGTGTATCGCCC